AAATTTAGGCCTTACCATCATGAACGCCACTTCAAGGTAGTTAACGACCATCATTCGTTGTGCTCGTTAGCCAACCTACGGGACCCATGTGGGCGACTGGCACGATGGCGTCTTTGTCTGCAGAAATTCAGTTTCACGATCACTATCAAATCGGGCCGCAAGCACAAAGATGCGGATTCGTTGTCCCACGCCCCTGTCGAAGCTTGTGGCCCACGACACCGAAGACGACGGTGATTACTACACCACCCTTGCTACAACCGACCTGATTACACGACAGCGCGCCGGCGACGAAATACGCGCAGTTATCGAAAACTTGAAAGACGTAACTGTTCCATACCTCATTGTATTTCTTGAAGTGCTGTCGTCATTCTGCCTGCGAGATGGGGCCCCTGTACAGAAAACTCCTACGCTATGAGAGAACTTATCTTCTAGTCCGCCAACTGACATGTGTGACGACATCCTTCTCGCCTGCCACTATGAGCCACATCTGGTCACTTGGGTTCCTCTCGAACTTTTTTGCTCGACAAGCGTACTACTGGCCTAGCTTTACGCATCCGTTAAATGATACGAGAAAATCTGCCGCGATGGTGAACGCCCCGAATTCCCGCCGCTGAAGCCCGTGGGGCTTCTTCAACCAATCGAACCACCTAGGGTGCCATTCGATCAAATAAGAATAGATTTACGTGAGCCATGTCCGCTGACATCTGCCGGCAACAAGTGTCTCATAGCAGCCACAGACTGTTTGACGAAGTACGCTGAAACAAAGGCACTACAACGCGCTACAGCAGAAGCGTAGTAAAAAGGGGCATGCGTGGGCTTCATGCCTTGGCTGTGCTGACACAGAAAGTTGTCGCAGAGTATAGTGAACACTCTTTCGACCCGCTTATCTGCGATAAGAGGAGACACCAGAAAGCTAGCTGCTTCGCCCGCCGGAAAGATCGCCTCAGTGATTCGGCCTAACCTCGGGCGTTGATTGGCGTTGCGAGGGTTAGCACAGCCAATCGCGTTCGTGAATAGCGACCGTCGCGCCTGCAAACGCCGACAAGACGAGGGCCAGGAAGCTGAATCAAGCGTCGAAGTGGTAGATCAGCGACAACAGTGCGAGAATAGAGGAGGTGTGCTGGTAACACCGACGAGACGAAAGCCAAGCAAGCGAAGTGCAAGCGCTTCACACGTCGGCAACACCGATGAGACGCGAGTCAAGAAAGCCAAGTGGAAGCACTGACAGCGAAGACAACGCTGAGGAATCCTTGACGTCGTCGTCATTTGACAACGTCTCGAAAGCGTCACGGGCGCCCCCTCCCACTGAAGCACTCACCCGCAACTGCTGGGTTCCGCCGGCGAACAGGAGGCGACGTGTGAAAACAATCAGGACTTCTCAAAGGCACTATGGGCCGAGTGCGTTGCCGTTGCGCATCGGTGACGTCTCAATCCTCGTGCTTCTACGTCACTCCCAACCTGCCGAAGTAGTGTTTTCTGCACTGTCTGGAGGAGTGCTGACTGATTGAAGCGAGGCGTGTTGATGTGCGCCTCCTATATTCGCAGGAGACTTCAACGTTTTCGTCAGTAGAGGAAGACGAGAATGGCTCGTCGATTACATGCTAGACGTGCACTCGCTGAAGTGCATGTCGGCGAACGGAAAATTACCCGCCACGATAAAAAGGAATGCGTACGATCTGGCCTTAGCCAACTTCGACGCAGAATGTCTGCAGGAACCTCTCAGCGTGCACTTCACTGATCACAAGACGGCGATCATCAAGGCGAAACGCGCGCCCTGCTCCGGGTCAGCACCCGTGTCCACTCGTGAACAAACGACTAGACTACGTCAGCCATCGCTTGAAACGAATCTTCTAGCACTCACCGCAGCACCCGCGTTAGCTCCTTTCAATCCGTCACGTCCACACTGTGCGCAGCGCCTATGCTTCGCACCCCTTCAGGATCTCTGTTCGGGGAGGATGGTTCAAATTTTTCATTATTATAAATTCGAATCCCTTGTGCTTCTTCAACGTCCACCTAGAAATAAATACATTGGCCTATAGCTTTCCCACCTCCATCGGAAATGGGCGCCGATGCAGAGGGGATAGGATCCCGAGACCTCCTGCTGACACTCGAACACCACTAATTATTAGGCCACCGGGCGGGACTCAGATAGGACAGGTGCTATTACGTAAAGTGGCTAAACAGTCTCTAAAACGCTTTGTTGGCCGATTGGTGTAGTTAGTTAGGAGCAATAACGTCGACTTATAATTTATACCTGTATTTAAGAATTTCCCCTATATTCTTCACAGCATTTCCTGTCGACCGTTTCATTACAATGAGCTTTCCAGAGTAACCGTGGCTCTCGCAGCATGTTTAGGTACCGCTACTTCAACAAAACGACTTGATTCCGTAATACATTGCAGAGAGTGGCGTTCGTCCAAAAATGGCCCCTTGCTCATGTTTGTCTCAACCTACCTCTGTAACTTCTTGTTGCCATTTTGACGTTTACAGTGCTTTCAATTCGCACTACTACACCCTAATTCTGAGCTCTTACTTTACATACCTTCCTGAAGGGGCTTTGAAGGCTGAGGCCGAACATAATAAGGATAGCCTCGGGAAATTTCGAACGGCTAGAAAGCAACGTGCTTAGGTGAAGAAATTCTAGGTTACCTATAGAGTATATGATCCGGATACTTTGAATTTGAAAAGGGTGATGTGACTAGCGAGTATTTTTTTGTTCGTCTCGCCTTTCTTGTTACTCCGCTTGTGAAGTGTTACATGCAATATGTCTGTTGAAGCGTTATCTTGGAGGCATCGGCGTGGCCTTTCGCACTCATATGATTTCGGAACACGGAACCTCTCAAAGGACAACAACAAAAATAGTGATATAATAATAAATAGGATTCATAATATTAAATATAACATATTAGGTAATGCGTCTCTCATAATCATATGGAGGTTTTGGGACGTTAAACCCCACATATCATCAACATATTAGGTATAACAATAACATTATTAGTAATGAACTGACTGGTGATAAACTGACGGCCAAAGTGAATCCCCACATCCTTCATCCCTCGTGTGTACGCCTCAGGCTAGGCATAAACGCCATAATGACCAGTGGGCAGTTACAGCACTTCACCGTGACTTCTTGTTCAAGGACAAAAAGCACCAAGGCTGCACGGGCCGTGCAGCACTGTCACCGCGAATGCAGGAAGAGCGGCGTTTCTGAAGACTTTTTCATTTATGCATTGTGTAACTGCTATGAGCACACATGCAGGGTAGCGATTATGCCATAATTAACAATTATTTGTGGTTAAAAAGGCATCCACTATGCCATTGTTCGTCATAACGCAATTGGCATTGTGTGATGCCCGGTTGTTCCTTTGCTGTTCTGGAGCACTTTATTACTTATATTAACGCGATTCCTTTCTCAACATGAAAGTTGCTTAGTGTTAATCTGAAATGAAGTTTTACGCACGAGGTTTCAAGCACCGGTGTGCTTAGTGTTTAAAATACTGGGCTGGCAGGCAGGGGACCCGGCTACGAATCCCAGTCGGGCCTCGCACTTTTTGTTTACTTCGCTTGTTTCTTTTTTCACCCCAACGCGCGATTGCGAATACGGACACCGGCGACGGACAATTACGGCACGAAGCCTTGTGCTCTCATAATATCTTTCTCTGTATACATTAGTAACTGTCTGAAAGCATAAAATTTACTAACAAAGTTTATGTATAGCTTCAGAGGCCATTACCCCAGGAAATACTGAACTGAAAATTACGAACACAGAATGTACCAATATAGTCATGCAAAAAAAAAACATCCAGCTGCGCATGGGCAGTAGTTATATGAAACTCAATCAGCTAACATGGGAAAGCGGACACAACCATTCACCTTTTAGCGCCCTAAAGTGCGTTTGCGAGTTTCTCATACAGATGGTGCCAACGACTCATGGAGGGTCAAAGTGAGTCAAAGCCGGTACATTATATAGGTGACAGCCACATTATATATTGGCAGCCTGGTACATTATATAGGTGAATAAAGATAAAAAATAACACGGGAAACAATGGGTTCATTCGCACGTGTGCTTTGATGAATAAAACTAAGGGGCAATAAGCGTTAGTCCAGCGTTCTTTAGGTTCAACACACGAGTTAGCACGAGTTAAACCAAAAAAGAAACATACAAAAGATATTCTAGCTAGACAAAATAATTGCTTCCTACTGAAGGTGGGATTCAAATTGCGAGAATCAGTCTTTCGTCACCTTTTTACCGGGCTTTTTGTTCCGATCCACTAGAGTTAATTCTAGGAAAGAAAAACTTTCGTACGTGTCGCGATACGGTGTTACAGCTAGTGAGTTACTCTGTCTGGTATCGTTATCTGACAAATATAGAATGTGTGACGTGTCGATCTTGTATTGACCTTTCCTTATTCGAAAGAAAGAATTTTAAATGGCATACAGGAGAAGAAAGAATTACGTAATTGAACCAGCTTTAGCGAGCCGACCTGTTTTGAAGCCACCAGTGTCGGCCCAACATGTAACATTTCACTCCAAGATCAAGTACGCAATGATCCTTGCCGATACTGCGGCGCGCTGCGGAGTATGGCACGCAGCAGATTTCATTTTAAATCCTTTTGTTCGGTGCAGACCAGCCACCTCACGCAAGAGGTTCAGGAACGAAACGCCACCGAGGCCACTGAAACCCAGCGCACGCTCTGACATTTTGATCATGTGTTGGACCCACACGGTGGGCTTTACTCGTGTGATGATGCACCCTACTTTTTCTTCCTTCCTCCAGGCCCGCCGAGACCAGCGAGCTGCAGCCATCAAATAAGGCGTCCAATGCTCAACGATTTGAACTAAAGCGGCTGTTGTCCTCCTGTCTACTTTATCGGGTGTATTTGTGCGGCGACACCTGGGAGTGTTTGTCAGCGCTGCTCGTAGCCCTGATGGTCGCGTGCGGAATACTCATGTTTTTCCTCCTGTGTCTAAACGAAAAGTGAATTCTTCGCGTTTCGTAATTACGCAACATCATCGGTGGGACACACCTGCCCTAGCGATGCACCACAGTAGGCTGCGCAGAAGGTGATGGTCATGGAGACCTTGCCGAAGCGCAGAATCCTGGAGAGCACAGCGAACAGCGTCTGGCCGGGCACCACGACGCCGACGAGCACGTAGGCCACGTTGGCCATCTCCCCACCCTGGTAGTACATCTGTAGGGGCCCCACGCAGACGTGTTCCCCGAATGGTATGTCTCCCAGTGGTGTCACCCGGTTCAGGTAACTGGACAAGCTGCAGCTAAAGACGGCCGCCAGGTTGCCGCCCAGCGCTGCAATCGGTAACCATCAGACACGCGGAGCAGACTATTTCACGGTTGGTTCGATCGTGATTCGAAACGAACTTCTTACACGTAAATGTTTTATGCTGGGGTACACCACCACTCCACTCACGCCTTTCATAGATGGGTAATACGTTGTGAAATATACCCGCACAGATGACCAAGAAAAATTAAAGAAAAGAACAAATTGTTCAGTCACCACTAGTCACACCTATGACACCTATATATAGCTCCGCAGCATGCGGAGTGAAGCGACTCTAACACGGAACGCACATTAATTAGCGCACTAATGGTGAGCTATTTATGTACGTTATTTTCTGTTTACGGTGATCATAGCTCGGTGGCACTTCAGCGTGTTCACATTTAATAACTGGCGAGATAGCGAGAAGTGTGCGCTTTAGATATAACTTTAGAAGTCATCGCTCTTCCTATGAATGTGTTCTCACGGTCCGCACAAGTGAGCACGCCTCTGCAAGACGTTAATTGCCGCTCGTGCGGGTCTGCCCTTGATGCGGGTGGTTTCAACGTTTCACAGCTAGTTTGTTGTAAGTTACGGAGAGCACAAATGCCGATTCGCTCACTGCAGTGGCCGCCTTTGCGAAAGGAGTACACTGCTGAAAAATTAAGAAGCAACAATTGTGGGAGCTGCTGATTCTTACTGGCCCCGTGTATACTTGAGCGTTCATTTCGTGCGCGTTCCTTTGTGTCTGAGCAGCCCGCTATTAGTGAGAAGCTAGTACACAGTTCTTAGTTGGCGCTCGTCCTGTTGTATGTCCGTTTCATGCGCCTGTTCTGCTTGAGCAAGCGCGCGGCAAGTTTCGAGCTACATGCCGTTCTTCAAGTTAACTTAAATAAGCTGCTGCCGCCTTCATTCCTTCACCGTTGTTAGAATGCGCAGTAAATGTTCAATACCTCTGTCAAGATACGTTTACCTTTCGGGTAAAAGCCTATTCTATGAAGGAAGGAATAGCCAATGCCTCCTTCTTTTCCTTTATAGCCAGTGCAAATGCGCACTCCTCAACGGAAACCATCGGTCCACCTTAGTTCGGGGAATGGTCGTGATGTGTCGCCACATGTGGAGCTGCTTGCGCCACACGCGCGTTCGAGCACTTTCCGTCGTAGGTATATTGAACACATTTGTCTCAAATATTATACGTATGTCAGATTTTTTTTGTTTCGTGCACCTTGGTTTGTGGCTCAAAGCCTTGCCGATGCCACCTCACGGTTCTCTTGAAGTCAGTGCATGAAGTAGTGTCGTAATGATGCTTCCCCATTGTTTGCTTACGTAGCGCTATGAACGCCGACATGCTATCACAGAACAACGTAGCATTTACAGAGGCAGCGTGAGCGCCACATTGTGAACACCAGGAATGTAAGACACCGCTCACGGATCTGTACACAACCGAACAAAACAATACTTCGTACGATTTGCGTCGTGAGGCACTACATGATAGGCTATTTCCCTGCATAACTGCATAGCATGCTTCCTTTGTGGTGAAGCTAACTTTGCTCTTGCAACAGTACAAGCTTATCTAAAATTCGACACTGTTCTTAAGACGTGCAGTAAGTGCAGCTTGTTCTATCCAGAGCAGCAAAAAACAAAAACCCGAGAAACAGCACATGGACAGGGTAAAGCACAATTGCAGCACTTCTCGATAACAGTGCCGGATTCTATAATTGCCTACAGATAGAGAAAGCAAAACACTGCAGCCAACTTACCAAGAGCTTCACTGCAGAGACACTGTGTTTTAAAAGACGATGATGCAAAAGCCCCACCTAGAGCTGTCACTGTGTTTCAGTGCTAGTTTCATAAGCGCCTGCGGAAAGCACTCTGCGGAGGGCCGGCCGCGTGCATGGTGCACGTGTTCAGGGTGAAATGGACGACTTAGTACATGTTTCAAGTACTAACAAACCGTATGTGGGCTGTCACTCAGCATGGTCAACGCACAGATCTGGCACATGGCTGGCATATCGTAAAAATAGGAAAGGCAATACATAAGCGCTATTTATTTGTTTATTTATTTACTTCACTCTCAAGTTATCACTGATAGAGACTATCAATTGAAGCCCTGAACCTATGATGCAGCCGTGTATACAGCTGAGAGGTAGCTGTTTAAAGCCATCGCGTAGAACGGGGTGGATTCCAGTGTTGAAATAGCCTGACTCACCATTTACTGAAGACAGGTGCAGGGCGATTGGCAGATAAGCGAAGAACTGCGTAATCTAGGATGTACCCACCGAAGCTGCAAAAAGCATGCACAATTAAAGTTGCTAGCAACTTGTATATAGGAGCTTTCGACGAAGAGCTTTACCAATTGTCGGGTAATTAAACTTGGAGCCTCTTCCAATTATTTCACATTGCCATTATGAAATTCTATTCAATTATCCTTAATTACGAGACGGTATTATTGGTGACAAGAGAAATGTTGAATGTCTGAAATTAGGACTGCTTTTAATTTTATTTACTTTCTGTTTATTGTGGTTTTGTTGTTGACCCGCTTTGTTTGGTTATTTGAGGGTTTATTTTTTAATAACAGTTCTTTTTATTGAAGTCCACATCATTGCAGGTAGAAGACACATCATATTGCTACATACAAAACATAAAAAGAAATAGAGAACAAAACAAATTAGAATGATCCCATAAAATGCATTCGCACAGAATAACTTAGAGACTGCTGCAAATGCTTGAACGATATGTTGTATTCAGCACCCCAAAGCCACCAAATGATTATTAGACACGATGCAGGGGAGGACTCAGAAAATGTCGACCACCTGGGGTTCTTTTACGTGCATAGAAATATCAGCACGTGGGCCTTCAGCATTTTCACCCCCAACAAAAATGCAGTCACCGCAGCCCGAATTCGATCGCACGACCTGCCGGTGAGCAGTCGAGTTCCCCAGCAACTAGAACACCACAGCAGGGCCTGCTGCCGATGCTATACAATAGCGTTAGTAGACAGAAAAGCAGCAGTAACAGCAGGAGAAAGCGATTTAGCACGTAAATTACGGGGCGAAATTTCACTGAACTTAACGCAAAAGCTTAGAGTGTAACACTCGCTTTCCAAATGAGCAATGGGTGCGTTCTCTGCTCACCTACCTCGAGACCGTGAGTGCGATAATAATTGGCAGCCACCCGACGCGCAGCACTTCCCGGGAGACGGTGTTGCGTCGGGCCAGAACTATCCACATTGGCAGCAGGAGCAGGCACAACGCGATCACCAGCGGCGCCAGATCTGCATATGGTCGTCAAGAGCACATTGTATGCAGAGGCGTGGGAAGTTGGGCCAGTCGGTGCTGCCTCGTGGTGCAACCGAGCATGAACAGACGGGAGCGCGAAAGAAATGAAAGTGAGCTGTATTATACGTAGATGAATCAGTAATATTGATACAGCAAGTCTTTTGAAGTTATGCACAACTGATGCACACAGCTTTTAGTGAATAACTGCTGACCTTTGTTTGCAACACTTTCTTGTCCGCTAACTCTGGCGCTATTAAACAAGTACAATCAACGTCAAGTGGCCCATTCCACCCACAACTTGTTCTGAGCGCACAAATATCTTAGCATAGAGCAGTCACACTTGTGCCTGAAGCCTAAGCGCATAATAAAACACGTTGCGCCATCAGGCACCATGGTGTCGGTATAGTAAACATTGGGATTAATCGATATCAACTATTTTTATAGCAAGTGGGCCCGTAAGGTAACCCGAACACCTGAAGCGCGGCGGCAATTACGTAAGCGTGTGCGCAGTGAACAAGCGTAGTGTAACTTGCACAAGAACGCACATCAGCAGGCTTTTCTTTCGCAAGACCTGCCCGTCTACAATGCTGATGAAAGTTGGCAGATCCCACGTACAGTGAAATCGATGAATGCGAAGCATGAATGAGAAAGGTTAGTATGTCACTTTGAATCAGCACAAAGTTACGAGTTGAGGTAAATGATGCCGTACTATGATTCCGTGTCATGACTTATCATGTTTGATGTGTAGTTTACCTTCGTCATTTATTCGACGTCACAGGATACCAAATTTAGTAATATGTGGAGCTAGTGAAACGGTCGCGAGCACGCTATGAGCGCGGTATGTTGTCATGCTCCTACATGGCACGCGGGTCAGGATTATTATGCTTAGACCAGTCTTATATTTTGTCATTCATTGACGTCATGTAACACCAAATTTGGTATGTGTGGCAGCTAGCAAAACAGACCGCGAGCGCATCATGAAGGGCCCAATATACTCCAATGTGGCTTTGACGCACGTGCACGCTGGCAAGCGACGCTACGTTAGATAAACGCGAGCACTCTATAGTCAGACGCCAGGCGCGACCAGGGCGACCAGCGTCCGTCAGTGCGGTCCGATGGCAACCGGTGTAAACTGCGACATGCCGAGTTCGCGCCGATGCGTTACCCAAAGAACCCTGCGTCTCCCTCTTTTCGTGACGGAGGGATACCGAACACGCTGAAACGCACATGCGTCACAGCGATGCTGCGCGGTGCGTGCCTGCGAGTACATGGCAGCCCCAGTGCCTGGCGTGGCAACGCCAGCGTGACGCGACGAAATGAGGGCCAGCGAGCACACGCACCACTTCACGTCGAATTGTATAGGCGCCTTGACCCTGGCATGTAGTCATGTTTCCACATGACACACATCTCATGATTATTATGTTTGCACCAATCACAGACCTTCGCCATCTATTGGCGTCCCGTAATAGCGAATTTGGTAAAAGTGAATCTAATGAAACGGTCGCCAGCACATCTTGACTGTGGCATGTAGTCATGTTTTTACATGACACGCATCTCTTGATTATCATGTTTGCACCAGTCACATACCTTCGCCATCCATTCACGTACCATAATACCAAATTTGGTGTATGGGACGCTAGCGAAACGGCCGCGAGGGCATCATGAGCATGGCATATAGTCATCTTGTTACAAGACACACATGTCATGATTTTCATGTTACGGTCTGTCGCTTGTAATCGCCATGCAATCATGTCATACATACAAGTTTTGCAAGAAGCCATGTGAACGAAACCACCGCAAGAGCTGCAGGACGATGAATTGTAAATCACGATATTCATGACATACACGTTATCATTTTATGTTATGACTAGTAAGATATGTTCTTCATAAAGCCATGTTATATATATATATATATATATATATATATATATATATATATATATATATATATATATATAGATAGATAGATAGATACATAGATAGATAGATAGATAGATAGATAGATAGATACGCTCAAAGTCACCGAATTTTGCTAAGAAATGCTTCGCATTTAAAGTGGTCGTGGCAAAGACGCACACGGATGGTACAACATTAAAGACGAGTAGCCGGAGAGGAGGAAAAGCGTGGTCAGGTCGCCGAACGGAGCCGCGATGGCCGGCGCAATGTTGTCCGGGTTTTTCTCGCACTTGGTGGACAACACCACGACCATGGACATCACGAAGCCTGCGTGAACAAAAAATTCAGGAATCGAAAAAGCGCTCTTTCAGAGTACAGAACGTCAGCTTGCTATATTTCGCAGGGCAGCATGTAGATGAATGTTTGTAAATGTTTAATTTGCAAACAATGTGGTTAAAGAGAGCTTTGGTTAACATTTCCTTGTTTAAAATAACTACTGTGCTCAGATGAGTGTACTGAAAAGCAGTGAAGTGGATCTTTATGTCGTGCCTTTGATTTCACCTTACAGCCTTGCGAAGCAATATGTCTAAAAAAGTTTCCTTACAGGTCAACGTTTTTTCTTTCATTTGTTCAGTGATAAGAAGTTGTGCTCACAATTTCAAATCCACGTTTTAAATTTATATTCAGAAAAAAAAACATTGTTATAAATGGCGTTTATATATATATATATATATATATATATATATATATATTATATATGTAAGGTGTTTTAGGAAATTGGTTTTTTCTGTAACGGCAGGCATCTTAAGACGGTTGAAGGTAATATTTGAAACAGTATTTAGGCAATAAAATCATTTGCTCTTCCACCTAACTGTCTAAATACTGCTGTAGTTAAACAGTTAGGTCAAAAGGCAGAATTTAAGCCCTTGATTGATTGATTAAAACTTTATTTTTGTCCTGAGAAGACGCAGGGGAGACCCCGCGCCACCCGGTTAAGCCCTTTATCCAAAAAGCCAATGGCCGCATTGAGATTTTGCAAGAACGACCTATTATATTAACTGCAATAAAATGAAAATATCCCCAATTCTGCGGAGAAACCAAAACCGAATCGCGAAAGTGTGAAACCAAAATGAGGGGCCGTTATATCAACCGTCTACTGACTCCATTGTGTGGGTGTGCGACCTGCACAGTCATTACAAGAGGCCCTTTTTCCGAAACATCATAGCAGCAATGGGTTCTTCACATTAAGGACTTCATTTTATCCAGTTCACCTAACTACTTGACTCAGCTAATTGAAAGGTAAATAAAGTAAGTTTCCTAAGTACTGTTCTCAATTATGTATTCAACCCTTCTAAAATACCTTTGGCTGCAGAGAAGACTGTGAAGGCAATGAGCAAATAGCGTATTTTCCTTATCTTTAAACAATATTGGACACATTTTTGAAACGCCCTGCATATATACGTGAAGTAATGCGAGATGAATGGAATCCACTAATTATGTGCACAGTGAATATTACAAATAGTCACGCACAAATGACAGAACATGGATGATTGGCACTTTACTTTATCATTTTGAGGAAGCGTGACCGTTTGTGCAGCGAGAAAGCTCACGATATACAAAGCCAGCCGATTCCTAGGCCTCTGTTGAAAATGTTCGAAACATAACCTAGTTTGTTAAAAGCCGACTGTCGAAACGAATCCTAATACAGTTTTCTGTTCATATAATTCAGCTTCTGTTGTGCCTTCTAGTTTTATTGGTTCTAAACGCCTGCACTATACAATGCTGGGAGCATCGAAATAGAGCACCACAACATGTATGTGCATCTTCACATGTGTGTCGTCACAACAATATTCCACATCTCTTGATGCCTAAGAATTCGCTCGCTTTTCAACTATTTGTTTATGTTATGTAACACACCATGACTATTTGTAGTTTAGTTAACTCAATATTTGTACGTGCAATTCTAAACTTGTAAACAATATTTTTAAATGTTTCACAATTGCATTACTTTTTGTTCTCTGCTCCCGTATGCAATTCTTCGGTGATTGGGCTATGTAAAACAAATACGCAACTGAGTAAGAGACTGGCGGTGTTGACAGCGGCCAGCGCTCCAGCGTAGAGGACGGCGATGTGTGAAGAGTCCCAGAGACCGTCAATTGCCAGGCCTTTCAGGACGGCGAGTGAACAAGTCAAGAAGGTTGCCACTGTCGACTGGCACTGCATGTAAACATAAATTGACAAAACAAGGTGTAGCTCATTCAGACCATTAAAAAATGGCAGATCTCACGCACAAGGGAACCGATGATATGCGAAGCACGAATGAGGAAGGTCAATATCTCACTTTAAAACCAACCGAACATTACGAGACGGACGTAAATTATGCCGTACACGATTTCCATGCCATCATTGCCATATTTAGACGTGTCATTTACTTTCGCCGTCTATTCAGATCACGTGATACCAAATTAGGGTATATGTAGAGCTAGCTAAACGGCCCTGAGCGCACTATGAGCATCGCATGTAGTCATGTTTTACATGACACGAATGCCATGATTATCAAGTTTGGACGTGTCATTTACCTTCGTCGTCTATTCACGTCGCGTGATACTAAATTTGGTATATGTGAAGTTAGCGAAACGACTGCGAGCGCGCCTCGAGAGAGGAGTGTAGCCATGACTTTCATGACATGCATGTCATTATTTCCAGGTTAGGATGTTCGTCACGGAGTCATGTGATACCATACCAGTTTCGAAATGTGTAATGTGAACGAAGCCATGACAAAAGCAGCAAAAGCATTTAATCTACATAATGACATTACTATCAAGATTTTTATGCTATGACTAGTTATTTATGCTCGACATACACTCATAATATCCCATATCAGTTCTGGTATTGATACCAATATTCAAACGGCCAGGAGAGCTAAATGTCGTAGATAGATAGATAGATAGATAGATAGATAGATAATACATAGATAGATAGATAATAGATAGATAGATAGATAGATAGATAGATAGATAGATAGATAGATAGATAGATAGATAGATAGATAGATAGATAGATAGATAGATAGATAGATGTCACTGAAGTTCACTAAGAAATGCTTCCCATTAAAAAAATATTTCTCGTTTAGGGCTCACCAGGACCGGTACTCACACAATTTTTTCCCAACCGGATTACCTTGAACTCAGGCTCATAGCCAGAACGGGGTATTGTGAGTTTGAATGGGTTGAATAAACTAATGAGTTGTCCAACCTCTGCACGTAAGAAGGCAATTAGTAAGGACCTCACTTTCCAGCCCGAAGGACGCCAAACGAACAAAATACGTCACTGTAGTTATGATTTCATATTTTCAGGCACTGTGTTTGATATGGCGTGAATCTCAGGGCAATGCAGTTATGATTACAAGAAACTCAAAGAATGAGCTACATAGTAAGAGTAGGTATCGTGAGTGAAAGCTTGACAACATTGTTTCGGACTACTGTTTATGCAATTGCTTTATGTGGTTGAGGCCTCCTGATAAGCGCACAAGTGACACTACGCTGACATCAAGCGTGCTTGGGGAAATAAAGACGAAAGCGCTGGGTTCATGTGGCCTGAACCTTTTACTTCAGTTGCCAGTTGCTGCTCCTCATGTATCTAGATTCGCTGAAGAAAATATTTTATGTGTATTCTTGCCGGACTAATCTCGACATACTCAACTAAGTTTTATATTGGTATGCATACTCCACTCGTACACTTACTTCCCAATTTTTTTTTCTGTCGACTCATTGATTTCGAGCGGCGCTGGATAAGAACTCCAACAGCAGCAATTTTAGAAATAAGAGGTTATCATCTTTTTTCTTTCACATTAACGGTCACTTTCAGGGTTACTTTTTTAACACAAAAACGTTCTATGCCGGGTTAGACAGAGATTCCAGTGACGTATTTACGCCACCAAAATGACGTAAAAAATATTCACAATTAGAAAACGCAGAAAGAAGTAGTTTCAATAACATTTCAACCCATGATCTATAGATCCAGGACAACATATTCTGGACACGCTATCCCCTGTGTCATAGTCACATGTTTTGGACGCTTTTAAAAATACATCACTTATATATAACACTGTCCTCTCATGGTGTTCTTGGTAACGCACAGTAAAGCCTCATGGCCATAGCATTCACCTTTAGTTTCTTCAACGCGTCGTTTCTAAGCATTCATCCCATTTGGTGTGTCTTGTTGAAATGCGATTTTTTCAACGCCTTAACACAACGCCAGGTGGCGCCCTTACCCGTACCCCACTGGAAAAATTGAACTTGTTTCTTGAGCGCTCCCGATGAACTGTGCAGATGCATCTCAATAAAAAAAATTTCTCGTTTAAGGCTCACCAGGACCTGGACTTACAGAATTTTTTCCCAACCTGATTACCTTGTACTCAGGCTCATGGCCAGAACGAAGTGCTTCTGAATGTTTTTGAGCTTGCCTTTATAAATATTAAGGTAGCAGCTAAAATCTTTGTATACTTATTACACTGTGCGGCTTTCTCGGGGGTAAGTCACCAGGTATTTACTAGCTTGTGCGTGTGTGTGTGTGTGTGTTTGTTTCTTTTTGTTTTTGCTTTTCTCTTGACACACCGTGCGGGAGGTGCACGTACATTGAACATCCAAATTTTTGTAGTAGAGCTTAGACTTTCTCTTTTTCGTAGGACAGGGATTGTGTTTGGTAATTATCGATTGAGACAAGTCATAAGAACATTTATGTCAAAAAGACATGGTAAAAAAGGTGTAAACAGTTCAGGCTGCGGGGTGGGCCTGAAAATGGACTCAAGTGCAGAAGCGCATGGAGAAGAGGCTGACGCCAAGTGTAGGCAATGTGAAGTCGAGGAAAAAATAGAGAAAATGATGTTTGCCCAGAGTGAACTGCTGATGAGAATCACCTAGTTGGTGACTGCGTTGGCGACAGAACAAGAGAAAACGAGGGCTATGGCAGAAAGACTTACGTACTTCATGGAGGCACTAGCGCAGGTGAACAAAGGAGCGGTCAACGGAGAGAACAGTAGGGCACCAGCAACCAGAACGCCGGAGAAGAAAGAGCCTGCTACTTTGAAAAAACAGGTTCAGCCGGTTCTATGGTCGCAAGACCCAGCTTCAGCAAGTAGGGGGGGGGGGCTGGTAGTGGACAAAGCAGCCGGCGTCATAGGTGCAAGTAACCCCCAGATGCAGAACGCTCCAGCTCAAAAGTCACAAACTGTGATAATCACCGGGGACTCGAATTCAAACTGATGCGCAGAAGCAATAAAAAAGAGTATAAGAGGTGACAAGAGGGTTCCAGTAGGAACCTTCCCATGACGCAAGCTGGAAGCAATCATGAGGCAAGCTGGAAGCAATCATGAGGCAAGCGAGCGCAAAATTTAAAACTAGAGCTGATAGACAAAACTTCGTGATAACTTCAGGTGGTTTAAACGATGTCCTAAATGCAGATACGGCAGAACTAGCGACCACACTGGCGAAAGGAGTCGATGACACGCGCGCCACTTCTCCTCATGCAAGATACCGGAGTTACCGGTGCTTGACGTCAACCTGCAAAAAGCGGTTGTCAAACGCAAACCAAGAGATATGGCGCATGAGTCGAGAGAAAAGCTTTGAGGTGGTGGAAATAAACAGAGACGTGCTTAGGTGGGTTGGTTGTCAATGAGACAGAATTCACTTCGATGGACGGCTAGGTCATGAGGTGGGTTGGAGAGCAGGACGCGCAGTAGGGCTTTTGGGGGTCAGATGGGCCCTTCGGTGTGAAGCATAGCTAGTAACAAGAAAAACAACAAGGGAGACTCTTTGACAGGTGTTATAGACAGATACAATTCCAAAGTGGCACCATCATTTAGGATACGTAGAGTCTGAGGCAACAATACACATAGTCACGAAAGCCGAGCCAATTCAGACATAGGGTATACTAACATGCAGAGTGGCAGCAACAGGCTGAAGTGGGAAGAGGTAGAAAAACAGCTAAAGAAGCAGAGGCCCATGGTATATGGTTTCGCAGAAACACATATTAGGGACATGGAACAACCTCCTAGTCATTGGGACAACACGTGGGAATATTGTAATAGAACAGATGGCAGCAGAAATTTGGGTTGTATTTGGGCATTCATTCATAAAAGTACAGACTGGCAAAGGGTCAAGCAGGAGTGCAAGGAGCATTCATGGCTAAAACGTAAAGTGGCAGGGCAAATGACGCTCCTCGGTTTGGTGTACATGTGGAAATGGGCAAAAGCCAGAGAGAAATTTAAAAAATTGTGCAGCGCAGAAGAAATGACTTTGACGAACTAGGAGAAAAGTGTGAGGTAACTATTTTAAGGGATATGTACGCGCACATAGAAGATATGGATGGATATACTGATCCAACAGGCGGAATGCAAATACACATGTGTGAAAGGCATGATTTAATCAATTGCAACAGCACTGAGAAATGTGAAGGGCAGATAACATGGGAGGTGGGAAGTCTGCAGTTGACGATAGATTACGCAATCATATCACATAGGAATTATGATCGGGTTAGGGTGATGAACATAGATGAGTATGAGTCCAGAAGCTTAGGTAGTGATCACTAACCTATCAAGCTTAGTTTTGGAAGATAAATGAAATTGGAAAGACAGCATTTCGAGCAACCACATAGTGATATTTATTCAGAAAGGCAAAGAGAACTAGCAACTAAAGCGATTGAGAAAATATACACCGAGGATACTAAAACAAAGTGTGCGTACACAAATCCAACTCGATTGTTTGAGTTAAAGCTCGCTAAGGTACGAGTCAAATCAGCCGGGAAAAGCAGACACAAACCCAAGAGTTGGTGAGATGAGGAAGGTAAGGAAGCCATACTAAGGCGACAGGAATCCTCCATGGAGCACAGGTATGCTTATCAGAGTGGTGAACCGATAGATGATGTCAAAAGAAAATGGGATATCTTTTTGAGCTGCAAAAGGGAAGCGTCTGATTTGATCAGTGCAAAGACAAGAAGAAAGGGGGCCCACTGAATGGCGGAAGTTAACAAAAAGGATAAAAAAGCAGCTGCAAACTTTTGGAATAATCTCTATTTTCTGAGTAATAAGAAAAGCATGAAACAGGTTTATAACTTCAAGTAATGGGGTCAGACTAGAAGGGGATGAGGCAATGAAATTTATAAAAACAATGAGTACGAAAAAATTTAAACATCAAGACAGCGCTGCATGCATCGTGCCC